TCGCCGTTCCTCAGCTCAGAGTCCTGGAGAGAGGAGACACGTCAACCGTTACTCTGTGGAACCCACAGAAGAACCCACAGAAGAACCGACTGAAGAACCCACAGAAGAACCGACTGAAGAACCCACAGAAGAACCAACTGAAGAACCCACAAGAAGAACCTGCAAACACGGGTTCGTCTGTGCTCATTCTCAGCCAATCAGGAAGTCACAGTTTAAACTATGAACGCAGCCGTGTGACAGAGGAGATCAGGCGACGTCTGCCCCAAGTGGAGGAGTTTAGGTATGACAGCATGCTGTTCAGGAGTGAGGGGGAATGTTTAAAATGTCTGCTGGAACTTAGAGCAGAGAGCTGGTTACCGGAAGTTTCTCTCGAAGGAACCTCATGTTGGGCACCCTGTAGTTGACCTGGCTCAGCATGCTCTTCAGATCCTTACAGGATATCCTGTAGACACACATTCAAAATGTAACAAACAATTAACCGCGCACGCACGCACACGCACGCACGCACACACACACACACACACACGCTCTGACCACAGAGGTTCTCTCTGTGGTCAGGGATGAAGATCTGAACATCTCAGCTCTTCTCCTTCATCCTCTGCACTGTTTCCTGCTGCAGGAAGAGGAAGAGGAGGAGGTGGAGGAGGAGGTGGAGGAAGAGGAGGAGGAGGAGGAAGTGCTGCTGCTGTCTCTCAGTTCACTCAGTAGACCACAAGCCCGCTCTCTCTCTCTCTCTCTCTCTCTCTGACACACACACACACACACGCTCTGAGCCGTCACACTGTTCCAGTGAAGTGTCTCTGATCTCAGTTCTGATCAGCTGACTCACCGATCTTCGCGGTTGCGATCGACAGCATAGAACTGTTTCCTCAGCCACCTGTCAGACAACCATGACAAACATGAGTCCTTCACCTTCACCTCCTGTCCAGTCTACAGACTGCAGCTGTGTGTAGACCAGCTCACCTCTCTATCTGCAGCGGCGTCGGAGACTTCAAGGTGTCGGCCACCAACCAGGTCAGGCCCTTCACCCACATGGTCATCTCTTCATCAGACGTCGCTGCCGAACAAAGATTCATTTGAGACTTCAGTGGAAAAACGCTGACAGACACAGACACAGACGCTGACGCTGACACTGACACTGACACTGACACAGACACTGACACTGACGCTGACACTGACAC